ATTACAGAACCGATTTAATATTAAACCGGTTTAACCCGAATTTCAAGTTGAATTACATCAACCGGTTCCAACCTCTAGCACCAACATCATAGAAAAGGATTATTTGGACCCGTTATCCTCCAAATATGCCTTATTATAAGGATACGATCTAATCCACGTATGTACACAATCATATAATAAAATTTTTACATATGCGGAAACAATGAATATACGCTAACTGAAAATCTTTAAATTTTCATGCATGTGATAGGGCATGAATGCTGATCTGCCAATTTTTTAATACATATAATACGGAAAATAAGTTAAAACGGAGATAATCGTTCTTGTCTCAAAAATCCACTAATATGAATCAGAGAACTAGTGGCGAGAGAAATTTAGATGAATTATTAAAAGAAATTCTACGGCTTAATCATGATAGGCCCAACATTTGCGATTTGGTAAATGAAGGAATTCTGAGAGCTCAAGTAATCAAGGTTACGAAAGCTTTTGAAAATGATTCGAAAGTTTTCCCGCAAGGGAATAAAATTAATCATTGGAAAAAGGAAAATATACGAAATTGGGCAGATGCTATAAAGGAGACAGAAATTACAAGAGATCCGGGATTTCTGGAAGAAATGATAGCTGTCCTTAAGAGAACAAATATTCTTTATTGTGGGAATGATCCGAGAATGACCCAGATTTTAGCTATATTACTCTTTGAGTCGACAAAAGGACAAGGTAAATTGTTGCAAGTATCCACAGGAGAAGGCAAATCTACCATATGTGCTATGCTCGCAAGTATTAAAGCATTGCAAGGAGAGTATGTAGATATAATGACAAGTTCCCCTATTTTAGCAAAGAGAGATGCCGATGAGAGAAAAAGTTTCTATGAAATATTGGGAATCGATTGTGCATCTAATGAAGGCGAAGATTTGAAAACAGACTATGTAATAAACCGATTACCTAGTGGTGAGATTGAGGTAAAGAAGAAATGCTATCTAAACAAAATAGTTTATGGAGATTTAGGTAGATTTCAGTTTGATTGGCTGGAACATGAACATAAAAAAAATAGTACTAGATGGAACAGAGGATTTGGTGTAGTAATTGTAGATGAGGTGGATAATATGATGATTGATGATAGTAACAGGACTGCAAGGTTAACAGGATCACTAGCAGGATTTGAATATTTAAATCCGGTATTTTGTGGAGTAGCAAATGAGTTAAATAGAATAAGCAAGCAGATTACAGAGATAAAAGGGAAGACAGTATATTTGGATGGCGAGTTCAAAGAAGAAAAAGATAAACTTTACTTAGGAGAAAATACAAAAATTCATGAAATAGACAATTTGTACGAATTTTTATCTAAATCTTTAACAGAATTTATAACAAAAATAATAAAAGAAAAAGTAATAGAGCTACCAGATTTTTTAAGAGATTTTTGGTTAAATTCGGTAGAAGAGGTTGTGGAATCTGCAATTCAAAGCTGTGGTGTATATGAGAGGATAGATTATCTAGCGGTAAAAGATAAAGATAAAAACTCGAAAATTGCACCAGTTGATTATAACAGTACAGGAATTGTGCAAGAGGGTATGACGTATTCCAATGGATTACAACAAATTTTGCAAATAAAGCATGGACTCAAGCTTACGCCTCAAACTGTAGTTACAAGTTTTATCTCAAATCTGAGATATTTTAAAAAATATGGAACTAAAATTTATGGAATGACTGGAACAATTGGATCTAAGGAGGAACAAGATTTGCTGTCTTCGATTTATGAAATAAATTTTGGATTTATTCCAACATATAAAGTAAAACAATTTAAAGAGATAGATGGAATAGTAGCTAGTGATAAGCAAGAATGGTATATTAATATTGTGTATAATATGAAACAGGAAATCGAGAGAGGAAGAGCAGTACTAGTTATTTGTAAGACAATAGATGATGTAACAACACTTTATGATATTTTGAAAAATTTCAATCAAGGATGGAATATAAGAAAATATTCTAGAAACGATAATGATAATGATGAATGTTCAGCAGTAAAAGAAAAAGTTGACTCGGGGGATATAATAATTGCAACAAATTTAGCAGGAAGAGGAACAGATATTAAAACAAGTACTATGGTTGAAAAAAATGGAGGATTGCATGTAATAGTTACTTTTCTGCCATTAAACTCGAGAGTAGAGGAACAAGCATTTGGAAGAACAGCGAGACAGGGTGCAAAAGGAACTGCACAATTAATAATCAATAAAATATATACTGAAAACCAATTTAATGTATCCAATATTTTAAATAATATATTCGAATTTAAGCAGTTTAGAGATTGTAGAGAATATATAAAAATTCTAGAGTCTAAATTGTATAAAACAAAGGAGGTTGAATTAAGAGATATATTATTTGAAATATATTTAGATGCCGATAAATACTTAAGAGAGATAGAAAAAAAGAAGATAGATGAAAAAAGTATAGATGAAAAAGAGGAAGGTGATATATATAAATATAAACTGTTGCAAATAGAAGAAAGATGGGGTATTGAATTAAAAATGTTCGAAAAAACTTTAGCTTATGATATTGAGACACAAGAAAAACTAAAGAAAGTAGCAGGAAATTTGGGGTTTAAACTAGATGAAAAATATAATACCGATAAAAAAATATTTAGTTTATACAATGCAATCAATATAAGCTTAGAGAATAAAGCAAGTAGTGAGCATCTGCTCTGGTTTACAGTAGGCCACTTTTTAGATACCTTTGCTGAAAGGTATAATAAACAATATCAATACAATAATATATTTGATTCTAATTTTTATGAAAAAGTTGCAAAAAGCTTTAATGATCAAGAAGCGTTAAAAAGTTTAGTATCAATATTAAGAAGAAATATAGTAATAATAAGCAGTAATCAAGAAAGTGCAGAGATTTACAAAATAAAAGATTCGAAAGAAACGATTTATTTAGGTTTAGAAGCAGGAAGTAAAAAATATTACAGAAATTATAGACCATTATTAAAAGATTCAAACAATAACAAAACTATAAAAAACTATCAAATGAGAGTAACGGATATAAAAGCCACAAAATATAAAAGTAATATAAATCTTTTTGAAAGAAAAGAGATAAGAAAATTACTGGATAAAATTATAGAACAAGAGTCAGAAGAGATAAAAAAATGTAACCTGATTATAAAACAAGAGAGCATTAGTTACTTTAGAATGTTTTTTAATAAAATAAAAGAGGAATACAATGCCGGTTACAAAATAATGAAGAATCCTGCCTATATGGTTCAAATTGGAATAAAAAAATCAAAATTAAAAGAAAAAATAGATATATTAGAAGGTGCATGCAATTTGGAAGAAAAATTTTCGTTACCAGCAAATTATAATTTGGCCCATGCAATAATTGAAGAACAGGAAGAAGGTTATAAACAAAGAGCTGTTTCTAAACTGTCAGTAGCAAAAAACCGAATAGATAAAATATTAATACCTCAACTAGAATATATGCAACTTACACTTTTATTTGGCCAAGGTTGTGAATTATCAAAACAAATCCTTAATAAGATAAATATATTAAAAACTATTAAAAAAAATATAGAAAACACAATTATGAAATGTAATAGTGAAAATGAGAAAAACTTTAAAATAAACAAAATTGATTTAGAAGAATATTTTAGTAATGAAAGTTTAGAAACAGAGGTAAGAGAATTTAAAAATGAAGGATTATACTATCTTTACGATGTAGAATTTGAAATAGATTGGTTTGGAGTAATATTTTTAGGACTAGCAGGAATAGCGCAAATAGGAATAGGAATACTTTGTTTAATGAATGGATATATACGATTAGGAACATTTTTAGTTGGAGGAGGTATTGAAGATATAATCGATTTACTAATTATATTAAAAGGTGATAATAATCTTAATATAGAAGATTATATAAGTAAAAAGGCAATTAGCATACTAGCAGCACTATTTTCAATGGGATTAAAAACATTATCATCAATGCTAGGTATACCTGTAGCAAAGACACCTGGACCTTCATCTGGCTCAGAATCTCTTTCTTCATTATTAATGGAAATAGGGCTAACTATAGGAATAAAAACCACTATACAAAAATTATTAGATACTAGCGCAGATATTGTTATAAATCAATTCAGAGAAAAAGTAAAAGAAAGTATATTAAAAGAATTAAAAGTAAGTCTAGATGATCCAACTATATTAATATATTTAAATAAATTACTAGCAAAAGATGCATTATGTGAGGAGGGAGAATTTAATGGAATGGCGATGGATACATTAATAATTTTAGAAAACAAGAAAGATATATTTAGAAAATTAATTGATAGTGGTTTAGAAGAAATATTAAAAAGCAAGTTTCCAATATTGAAAGAAATCTCAATAATTGCTAAAACTGCAGATATGGCAAAAACATTAAACGGAATAAATAAAGTAGCAAAAGAAACAGCTAAAGAAATATCAAAAGTGTTTAAAAGTAAGATAGAAAGACCATTTAAACAAAAAATGGAACTTGAGACAATTTTAGAAAAGAAATTAAAGCCAAAAATAAATTTAGAAGATGCGAAAGAAATAATAAAGCTATTGAAAGAATATGAGATAATAAAAGAAGAAGAGTTTGATGAAGTCAAGGCACAAGAAGTAGATTTTAAGAAATATAATAATAATAAATCAGAAATTATAAACATATTATATAAATATAATATGTTAAGAAAAATGGAGATAGGTAATAGAGCAAAAGAAGATCTAATAAAATTATATGAAGAACGTGCAACAAATTTTATTCTAGCTAAAATAAAAACTCGAGCATTAGGATGCCTGACAAATGTAATATCAGACAAACTAAGTGAGCATATAAATGATAAAGTAAAAGCTGGATGGGAGAAGCTTAAAAATAAACGAGACCAAAAATTAAAAAATATACAAAATATAATCTTTAAAGAAGAAATAAACTATTCTCAAAAAGAAGAAACAGCCGAAACATCAAAATTAGATATAACAAAAATTATAACAGATAATTTTAAAAGGACTAAATAGTAAGTCAGATACGGAGTTTCATGGGTAGAGGTTGGAACCGGTTGATGTAATTCAACTTGAAATTCGGGTTAAACCGGTTTAATATTAAATCGGTTCTGTAA